CGGGGGGGGCAGCCCCCTCCCACCTCGCCCCACAGCTCCCCCCCACCCCGGCCTGGGCCAGCCCCAGGGAGCAGCCCCCGTGCCGTGATTCCACAGCCCCCAGGACCCCACAGCCCCCGTGACCCCACAGCCCCCGTGCCGTGATTCCACAGCCCCCAGGACCCCACAGCCCCCGTGCCGTGACCCCACAGCCCCGTGTCCGCAGACGCCGCGGTACCTGACGATGTTCTTGTGTTTGAGCTCCTTGAGCAGGCAGATCTCCCGCAGCGCCGAGCTGGGCACTCCCTGCGGGACACGCGGGGTTGAGGGGCGGGGGTCGCAGGGGTCCAGGGGGGTCCCAGCCCCACCACCCCCGTCACCTCATCATCGTCGTCCAGCCGCACCCGCTTCAGCGCCACGATCTCGTGCGTCTCCCGGTTCTTGGCCTTAAACACGGTCCCGTAGGTGCCTGTGGGGCGCGGGGAGGGGGTCACGGCGGGGCCCCGCTAGCGACACCGGTCCCGGGCCCCGCGGCCCTCAGGCCGCCCCGCACGACCCCGGCCCGGCCGCACCTTCCCCGATCTTCTCCAGCTTCTCGTATTTCTGCATGGCCGCGATGTCCCCAGGCCCGCCCGGCCCCGGCCCCGGCCCCGGCCCGGCCCCGCCGCCCTCCCTCCCGCCGGCCCCCGCGCCGCCCCGCGCCGCCCCTCCCGGCAGCCCCCGCGCCGCCCCGCCCGCCCCGCCCCGCCCCGCGCGGCCCCGCCCCCGCCCCGCCCGCCCCGCCCGGGGTTCCGGGTTCGAGTCCCGGCACCGCCCGTCTGCTCCCGCCGATCCTTCCGCCCGCCCTTCCCGCGGCACCGGCTCCGGGCGCAGTCCTTGCGGGGATCCCCTGCGGGCACGGTGTCCGCGCTCGCCGGGGACGGAGCCGGGAGCGGTGCGCACACGCCCAGTGCCACCCCGCCCCGCCCCGGCGCGCTCCCGCTCCTCTGCCCCGCGGGGACGCGCAGACCTGCCCGGCGCGGCCGGACTGTCCGGTAAGCGACGGCACCGGGACCGGCACCGGAACCGGCACGGCGAGGGAGGCGGCGGGGATGGAGGGGCGTGGCACGGCCAGTCCCATCCCGGTCCTGATCTCGGTCCACGTCCCGGTCCCGTCCCAGTACCCCGCCCTCCCTGTGCCGCCGTCCCCACCGGTGCTGTCTCCACTCCCCACCATTGTGTCCCGCCCGCGGCTTTCCCTCCGTTCCTCTCCCTCCGTTCCCCTTCCGGCCCTTCCCATCCCGCCCCGCCCGCTCGCGGCAGTCCCGGTCCCAGTCCCGGTCTCCGTGCCCGTCCTGGGCTCCCCCGCCACGGCAGCTCCGAGTCCCTGCGTGGCCGCCGCTCCGCTTCCCCGCTGTCCCCCCGCAGACCCCCGGCCGCGGTGGGGGGTGTCGGGGGAGCTGTGCCGTGTCCCGTGGCTCCGGATCCCCCGGGACACGCTCCATGTACCCCGGCTCCTTCGGCCGGGGGGGAGCAGCACCGGCAGTCCCCGGCCCCCCCCGGACACCCTAGGACCCCCCCGGGACCCCCCTGCCCCCTCCC